ACCCAGCGCACCTGCCTTCCCTGAAGAGGATTTCACCTTGTGAAGCCAGCCCCAGAATTGAGAATACTCTTGCTCACCAGGTTTGGAGTGTGACTGGGTTTGTGATGGGCTGAGGGTCTCCACTGCTCCTGAGAATCAAGGAAGAGACACAGATGTATGAATCACTGAAGGACCAGAGCCTGTCCTCTGGGTTCACAACCATGTATCTTCCCAGCGGGACATGACATCATGAATCCATGGGGGTCCTTTCCCTGTTAGGGCAGGTTTTCCTCTATCTCCCAGTGGATTCTTCCCCCCACCCCACGCCCCCGTACGGGAAATCGAACTCACGACCTTGCACTTGCCAGGCAGGTTCTATGCCCCTGAGCTAAATCCCCAGCCCCCTCCCAGTGGATTCCTCACCCTCACTGCACTCTGTGAATTCAGAACTTGGGTCTGAGTCACTTGCGAATGAAGGTTGTCTGTGTTCAAAGAGCCCAGAACTGGCAACAAACATGATTTCCAGTTCAGAAATAACCAAGCACCAGGAGGTCTTGGTTCATCTGGAACACAGAACCATGGACACTGATTCTCCCCAAGGTGAGTTTCCCTTCATTCTCTAGCTGAGGATCCAGGGTCCAGATATGAGGCTCTGGTTCTCAGGTCTCCTGCAGTCAGGGTCATGAAGAGGTGAATGTTCGGGTATGTGACCCAGCCAGCGACCCTGGTGCCCCATCATCCCTGTAATCTTGTGTTAACTGATTGTCTCATGCTTTGAGACACCTACAGTGCAACACACACACGTGCACACACACACACACACACGTCTGTACTTTACATGGTGGAAATGTCAGTGGTTCCTAAACTCAGTGCTTCTCATTTATAGATGTGTAAACCCATGTAGAGTGACCTATGATAAACACGGGAAAAGGTACAATTGGAATAAATGAAGAATGTGGATGAAAGTGAAAACACACAAATATTAAACACATAATATGAGGACAATTAGGGGCTGGGGATTTAGCTTAGCGGCAAAAGCGCCTGCCTGGCAAGCGCAAGGTCGTGAGTTTGGTTCCCGGTACCGGAGAAAAACCAAAAAAAAAAATATATATATATATATATATATGAGGACAATTATTATATATGTCCTCCTAGAACATTCATGCCATGGTAATCTCCTGATTTGTAGACCTCTGCCTAAGTTATTTTCCTGAAGAAATGATCTCTCATGTTTTTTCAGTTACAAAATTATGAAGACAGGAAGGACTGAGAATTCAATCTGTGCAGTAAAGTCCTTGCTCTAGTTCAGTGAAAAAAAAAAAGGAGAATATGGATGAATATTCTTGGATATGAATTATGTAGATTTAGATATATATCAAAATCTTTATATAATAATTAGGGTAGGTGTGCAACTGAGAAGTTAATTTTGCTTGATATGTATTTTCTCATGAATCATAGGAGAACATTCAAGAGTTATTGGAAGAGAATCTTAAAATAATAGGAAATAAAATTACTACACAAACCAATAGCTTTCCCATATAATTAATTATTATTCAGAAAACTTAAAGCTATCAAGAAAACCCATTTGTAAAACAGTGGATTGTATTACACATTTCCTGTGAATGTAAACAATTCAAATAAATAAAACTTCGAAGTGTTGCTAAAGCCCCTTAATAAGACTCAATTTTAAACATCTTGAATAAAACCACTTGGTGTTAACTTATTCTCTGCAATTATTGTATAAATCTAACAAAATTCCTAGAAAATAGGGGCATAATTACTAACACTTTTAAGTATAAGATCATGTCTTTAAATTTTCACAGGAAATTGTCATTTTTAAGTTTTAGGAAAGGACAGCAGCAGCACATAAGTGTAAAATCAGAATGCATAACAGAATTAAACAGAACTGCACGCAAGGCCTGCTGGGCAAGACCCGGGGTGACCCGGAGCAGTGCGCGGCACCTCGGGAGCCTCAGGGGCGCCCTGAGCGCAGAGCCCCCCAGGGGCTCAGGCGGGGCCGTGCCCAGCAGCGCCCGCAGCCTGGTGCTTCTCTCTGCAGGAGCCGCTGTGCTGGGGCTCAGCCTCACAGTCGGACCCCAGCGAGCTGAGCAGCCTCCTGCCTGGTCTGAGAGGCGTGGGGGACCGCAGCTGTGGTGAGGGGCTGCAGCCTCAGGCTCTCTCAGGAATGAAGAACGAGTGTGGCTGATCAGCAGCTCCCCAAAATGCCTCTCCGCTCCCCTCAGCCCTGCAGTGTTTCCCAGCAGGCCTGGGGGACACCGGCGAATCCCCACGAGGGTAGAAGCGAAGGGCCCTGGAGGTCACACCCGGCTAGCTCCGCGCCATGGGGAGGGTGCGGAGGGTGAGGTGCGCCGTCCTCTCTCTCGCTCAGCGGGGCTGTGCTTGGCTCCAGGTGTATCTGGGACTCTCTGCTGGGCTCCACAGAGCTGCTCTCATCCCTGGTGTTGGTCAAAGGCGCTGACTCTGCAGGGGCTCATTCTGGAGGTGGCCGAGGGCTCCCATGCTGCCACTTGTCCTGTCCCTGCCTCACGGGGATTTCCTGTGACCCTGGACGCTTCGTTTCCTGTTCACAGGCAGCTTCTCCCCTGCTGCCCTTTGTCTCCTAGGACTCAGGTGAAGCTGACCGGGCAGATTCAGATCACGTCTGATGAAAACCCGACAGCAGCACTGACGCTCAGCGCCTCCTGCAGCCCACGCCCGATTCCGCACTGCACCGCAACCACACCGGACCAAAGCTCGCACAGCCGGGGTGGCTGTGAGCTGGGGGTGCAGCACTGCCGCCTGCAGCAAGTGGGCGGTGAGACCCAGGGGCCGGGCGGGGACAGCCCTGCAGCGTTCTAGCAGCGCTGTGGTTTCCACCTTGAGTCAGAGCTCCCAACACGGAGCTGTCTCACATCAGAGCGAACCGTGCGGGCCTCTCCCCTTTCCTTCATGCGCGGGGCTTATGTTCGGACACTCCCTAAGTCACGTCTCCTCGTTTCCTCATAGCGCAGTGCTTTTCAAGTTGTACTGGTTTGCTCGGCATCATGCTTCAGACGTGGTCGTAGTGTCAGCGTCTGCAGTTTCTCTTTGTGCATAATATACCCATGTGTGTGCGCAGTGTCAGACTGTCACTTTAAGATAATTATTGGATAGACTTGACTTTATACGTCTTTGTAAGCAGACAACACTCTGACCAGTGTCCCTGTGTCTATCTTGGTGCACCTGAGCATGTTTTCCTCCAGGGTGAATACTGAGGAGTCAGTGACCGGGTCTCTTTCGGTTCACTACAAGATTCCCATCAGCTCCCTGATTTTATTGTCAGTTGATAAACCTGGCATTAATTCATGAAAGTTATAAGTGATTCTTATTTTGTCCCAATATGATGCTGCTAATTTCTTTTACCTCCCATGTGGACCTCATGGGCGTCTGTAGCGTTATTTATTGAATCCCTGCATCACAGTGGGGTGGAAATTGAGGCAGAGACAGCAGGGAGCCCAGGCACATGCTGAGCCACCAGAGAGGTGAGGTGAGGATCCTCAGCCTCCCCCACATTAGAGATGTCACACTGCCGCCCGGAATAGGGGAGGAAATATTCATACCACAGAAATGTGCTTTCTGATAATGCTGTTTTCAAAGCATGATCTACCAGTGCAGCACTGAGCAGGTGCCATAAACACCAGCATCTTGACTCCAGTTCCCTTCTACAGAAACCTCCCAGGGCCATTTCATGAAATGTGTGTGTCTCAGGGCGCCATTTTGGATTTAACTGTTAGATGTTGGAATCTGATTTTTGGTTAGCACCTGTCGGCTGCTCATTGGGCATAGTGAATACATTCATTATGGGCATCTGTACAGGTACATTATGCATCTTAATTCTCTTCTGTCCCCCACCCCACAGATGTCTACCTGCTCCTTCCACATCTGGGTCCCCTTCCTATTTTCAAATGCTCGATTTCCATTTTCTTACATTCCTTTCCCCCCATGCCCTCAGCCTCCCCTGTATCCTGGAATCTGATTTCTGCCATTTGTTGTGTTACTGAGACCAGATTCTGTGTAGGGACTGAAGAAATGGACTCAACGTCATGCACTGAGGAATGCGGTGACTGCAAGGAAGGTGGGTCCATTACGGGAAAGAGCAGCAGAGAGTGGTGAGTGCAGATGTGCTCAGGGCTGGTGGAGGACGGGACCATCCAAGGAAAGCCATTCAGTGGAGAGAGAGTTCTCTGCACAGAGCACCACAGACTCCCCTGCACCCAACCTTGTCACCTCCCCCAGGTCTCCTAGTGGATGGGGCCCCAACTTGAATCCAGGACTTTCTCCTAGAATCACCTTGGCATGTAGGGTTTCTTTCCAATGCCCAGCCACTGCGAGCACTTGTGGGAGACCCAGGCTGTGCTCTGTGGAGAAAGGAAGCTCCCTGCCCCCATCATACCATGCCCTCCTCATCACCCTATTCACTGAGATGCGCAGAACTGGATATCTTGAAACAGATGTTCCCTGAGTTGGCCGATTGAATGTTATCTGGTCTGACCGAGGCTCTGGTAGATTCATTAACAGCAAGGCCGGAACATGAAGGTGGGTATAGCCTCCATTTTGAAGGCTGGAATGGAGGCTCAAGCGAGAACCTGTGAGATTTCAGGGTAAGACATGAGATAACATTTCTTCTGAGGTCTTGGGACTCAGAAAAAAAAATTACACTTTCCTGGCAGTAAGGGGCCAGCCTTGCATTCGTCATTGGTAATATGTATACCAGCATGGTTAATATGCTTATATTGCTAATTAGAGGCCTTATTCATGGGACACACTTTCTCTATTTCTCCTTATACCCAGACCTGCAAAGATTGCTTTCCCTAACTCTCTGCCAGGAGCCCCACCCACCTCCCTGACCTATACCAATAAAAGCCATGAGCTTTTGGACACAAGGTCTGTTGTTCCATAGAGAACACTGGGTCATGCCGGAGCTCCTCAACTGCAGAACTTTCTCCTTTTGTCTTTATTTTGCATCCATGTGCCATACTGCTGGGTGGGATAGACTGATACCATCCACAGGGGTTTCAGCAAGCACTGACTGCTATTTCTTCATCTCCCGGCTGCATCTTGGGTCCTTCTCTGACTGCACTGATCCTTGAAGAGCAGAATCCCCAGGGCCACCAGGACCAGGCCAGCCAGGCCCATGCGGATGAGGTTCTCCATGGTGTAATCCTGAGGCTGTGAGGCTGGGGATGGAGACAAAGAGGTCAGAGAGGTCAGAACAGACTAGAATCTCCCCTGCAGCCCTGCATGTCCACCTGCGCTCCTGGACATGGCTTGACCCCCTGTGTCCAGCCCTACACCTGGGAGTTCTTCTTACCTGTGTTGGGCTCTGAATTATTCTGTGATGTGTTGATTGTCTCTGCTTCTCCTGAGAACCAAGGAAGACAAGTGGGACACGTGAAGCTTTGAACACATGAGCCTTTCCCCCAGCCCCACATCCTTGTGTCTCCATATCATGACAGATGTGATGCAGACGCTTAGTGAGCCCTTGCCTGCTACAGCAGTGTTGCCTCTGGTGGCTTAGATTCTTCATCCTCACCTGCTGCTTGCATTCAGGATTTGCATCTCTGTCTCTTTGGAGCAAAGGTTAGTTGAGTTTAAAAAGCTTAGGATTCATGACAAAAGTGATCTCCCATTCATCAGTAGCCAGGCCTGTGAGCTCTGTGTTCAGTGTGGGACACAGAATGATATGAGCGAACTCCCCTGGAGAGGAGTTTCCTGATCCACCAGCTGAGGACCCAGGGCCCAGGGGCAAAGGCCGGTCCTCAGGGCTCTGGAGCATCAGGAGACAAGGGCTGGAGTCTGGGGCGGCCCCGTCACCACCCAGGTGGGTCCTCTGCTGCTTCATCCTCCCTGTAACTTCTGCTAACTCATCGTCATGCAGTTAGAGACACCTAAAATGCGGTGCACACACTCAGACACAGACACGCGTGTACAAGTGCATGTGTGTTCTACATGGCAGTAGCATCAGTGCTTCATGGAAACAGGGCTTCTACTTTTCAGGACGGAAGTCCATGTTGGAGGACCAGTAATGAACAAGGAAAAATGTATCTACAGAACAACATTGAGAATACAGATGAAAAGCTGTAGAAAACACACATAAATACAGCTAGATATAGGAAAAGTTATCCATTTGTACATATTTAGATTACAGTGGATACATGTCTGACCACCTACATACAAAGCTGAAGCAGGAACATCGGTGTGAAACTGAGACGTTAAGGAATAGAATTTCCACTTCAGTGTACTAGACATAAATTTATCAGTAATCAGAACAGATTGGCTGAAAGCCTTTGGAGAGGGGGAAAATAAAAAATTAGTCTGAAATAAAAAGATTATACTTAAATCAATGTCTTTTGTTTTTATACTTTTTTTCAGAAGATAGAAACCAAGGAATTAACTCTCAAATAATAAATCAATTTTAAAATTGCCTATAAATATTACTAATTATTATGAATGGAACTTTGAAATGTTTCCAAAGTTCATAAAGCTCAATTTAAACATCTTAGATGAGATTTGATATTAAGCAGTTATTCTTTATAACTGATATACAAATATAATCTATTCCTGTGAAACAGAAATGCAATTAATTATATTTAAAGTATAAATCAGTATGCCTATAAATATATTTCCATAGAAAGGTACCACTTGGGGCTGGGGATTTAGATCAGTGGCACAGCAACTGCCTGGCAAGCGCAAGGTCGTGAGTTCAATTCCAGGTACTGGAAAAAAAAAAAGCAAAAAAAAAGGTACCACTTTACATTTCAAAAAGCATAGCAACAGCACAGAAGTATAAACAGAAAATGCGCAATGAATCAAACAGGACTGTACAGAACACCTGTGTGGTGGGGACCCTGAGTGAGCCCGAGAGCAGTGCAGGACCCATCCTGAGTCTCAGGGGCGCCCTGAGCGCAGAGGCCGCCAGGTGGCGCAGGAGGGGCCGTGCCCAGCGGTGCCCCCAGCCTGGTGCTTCTCTCTACAGGAGCGGCCCTGCTGGGGGCTCAGCCTCACTCACAGTTGGAGCCCAGCGAGGCTGCTCTCTGTCCACCAGGGCCCTCCTTCCTGCCTGGACCTCAGACACCTCCACTGCTCTGACCCCCGGGCAGTGTCACCCTGTCCTCAGAGCCCCAGGGAGCCACCAGGCTCCCTCACTGTCCCCGTCCCTGGTCCTCTGGGACTGATCCTGTCCTGAGAATTGCACACAGTGCTGCGCTGCATCTGGACTCCCGTGGGTCAGGGGAGCGTGTCTCCACCAGCCATGCGGCAGGGCCTGTTGTTGAGCCGCTGGGAACACAGGCGCTGCCTGTGAGGTGGGGACATCAGGAGAGGGCTGGGCCCTGTCCTCCCCTCAGTCCAGCCCCGCCTCCTCTGATCTCACCTGTGTCTCCCGTGCCCCTCTCCTCTTAGCTCCGTGGGAGATGTCTGGGTGGGAGCCCCGGGCAGGGAGCTCCGTCTGCCTCGGCCTCCTCATGGGGGACGCTCCCCTGTGCACCTCCCCTCCACCTCCGCCATGTCCTGGGCTCAGACCCGAGCTGGGACAGGACACAGAGTGACCT